AAAATGTATTTTTTATACTTTAGGGACAAAAAAATATAAAAAATAATTTAAAAATTAATAATATTCAGAATTAAAGGTTAAAAGACTAAAATTAAAATTTAACTTTTTTTTCATTTTGAGCCTCCACAGTATGAAAAGTCAATGCAAACCAACTGAATTGAGTTACTCCAAAAAAAAACAAGTGAATTGATTTGGTTCGGGCTTTAAATTGGGGTTTGCATTGTTATTTTCGTTTTTCTTTTTCCATTTTTTGGTTGGTTGTCTTGGTTTTTAGAAAAACAGAAACCAACAATGAAAACTTGTGTCGTTAGTGGTTACTGTAGTTTTCTGCAACATTCATCATGGTAGCCCGTGAATCATACATTAAATTGATAATATGTGGTTACTATGACTCACATCAATCAAGAATTCAGATCACCCTTCGATCCTTTCTCCATGACAAGACGCTGACAGACAAATATCTATGAGCTGCAACGGAGGGATTCCTTTTGGGTGGCAGAGAAGGCCACACACCAAACACTAACATGTGTTTACTTTGTTTGATTTTATTTTTTATATAATTAATATTTAAAAATATTAAATTATAAGTTAATTTTAAAGTGTGAAATAATAAGTGTCAATTCTTGTATTGATTATCATTTGTTGGTATCAGTTACACCAAACGTAATTATTAAGTTTTTGTGTAACTTTTTTTTTTTTTTTTGGGAAGATTAGCAGTGGAAAGTTTTTGTGTAACTTTAACCATTATTATCTCGTGGAAAGGACTCCTCAATTTGGAATCACAGATTCTCTTTCAAAAGCAAGATCTTTTTTTTACCAAAAAAAAAAAAGAGCAAGATCTTTTGCTTTTTCCGGGGGATTTGGATGGACCAGGTGGGTCGTATTCTTAGCCTCTTGAAAAGTCACAGAACTCTAACCTTCATCCATGACCAAAAACAGAAAAATTATTACAGAGAAAAAGGTAAAAGAGGATTTGGGATTTGATTCTTTAGGAAGAAGGCTACATAGACACCTAGAGTTCACAAGAACTTTCTATGCTCCTTTCCAACTTGTTTGGAAGGACCATCTCATATATGTAATCATCTCATGGGTGTGCACCTTGGAATCCAAGATTATTGCTTTCTTTTATCTTTTGTTTATGTTACATGTTAAGATTTTAACATTGTGAGTTAAATTTAAAATTTCTTTAAAAAAAATTACTGGTATAAAATTGAATTTAGTTAGTGTGATCAAATCATATGCACATTTAGAAATGACAAACACATCAAGTGATCTGCGGATGAAATGGAGGGTAGGTAGCATGCATTTACATGTATTGGGTCTTTTTTTTTGAACATATTTGCAAGGAGCGGGTTTCGAACCCAACCCGAGAGGGGGGAATGCACCGGGGTGATTATTGCAACTAGGCCTCAAGGGCCAGATGCACATGTATTGGGTCTTTGTGATGAAGAATCATTTTTATTTCATTAGCACTTATTACTTTCATGGACCAATTCATCTTAAAATATAAGTCATTTAACCAAATTAAATATTCAATTTTTATTTTAAAATATAAGTCATTTAATTTTTTAAACATCATTTAATGAATGTTTTTACATAACATATGAATTATAGTTGGAATAATTTTTTTACAGTTAATTCTTGTTGAATAATTTTATTTGATCTATTCAAAAAAAAATTTCTACAAAAGCTACAATTAGGCCAAAAAACTTACGCTTTCAAGTTGTAAGCGGTATCCATGTCAAAAATCAAGTCATTCTTTCCCCACAACAGATGTATCCGGTGCAACCATTGGCAAAAATTGGAAGTTAATACTAACCCATGAAAAATATAAATAAAATTTCTAGTACTGAAAATAATTAGGATTTGATTCTTAATTACCTGTGGTAAATCAGGGACATCAAATTCTCTATCACTTATGACCAAAGCCTCGAGAAGTTCGGCTTTCTCCTTTAATTTTTGATTCAGCATTAACTACATATGTATGGATTTATAAATTTACATGATTCAGTCACTATGACCAAAGACAGGAAAATAAAATTGAAAGTAACATGCATGCTGTCAAGCGCAGGTGAAGCAGCAGCAGGCATTGCATTACCTCTTACTCAAACGGCTGTTAGGATTTTTTCATTAAAATTTTTTAAATGAAAGCATGTTTTGCCCCAAAACATGCTTTCAAATTTTCTCTTCCTCTTTTGGGGCAAAAAAATATTTAACCGAGAGAGAAGCTCGATCCCAAAGCCCTTCGAAAATGGGTATGGTGTTCTTTTTTCCTTTTCTTTTTTAAATAATAATAAATGATAATTCTCATTATACATACTTTAACAACCTCATTCCTTGATTAAAAAGCAATCTTTTTCCTTAAGATTTAGTATATATTTAAATTCAAATAACATATGGTGTGCTGACTGATTTTTTTTAAAAAAAGAATTTACTGTTAAAAATTAAATTTATTTTCCTTAGCAAATTAAAGCTTTTATGTTGATGAAACGCAAAAACAATTAAAAGTCTTAATTAATTCACATTTTTTAATGATTGCATGCCGATTTGGTTTCCTGCCTTCTTCAAAAGAAATGAAAGAGCCGCAAATGAAAACTAATTTTTGTTTATCGTGACTCATTTTTTTAAGCGATCGAAATGTTTTTGGATTAATTCTTATTTATTTTAAAATTAATGTGATTTTTTCACTTTCTACATCAATACGGTATATATAATATAATTATATTTTTTTAGATGTTAATATTAAAAAGTAAATTATAAATTTGATTTATAAAATAATATTTATTTAATAATAAATCTAACTTTAATATTAATATTTGAAAATAAATTTAACAAAATTTTCTTAAAATTTTAAATTAGTTTGCAAGAAAATGAATACTTTAATTTAACAATAAAAGAAAAAAAA